GGCGGGAGATGGGCTGCAGCCCGAGCGGCCAAGCTGCGACTTTGGCAAGGAAACTTGTCTACAGAACAAGAGCGACGGGCCGTGCGCAGCCCTGGGCCCCGGCATGCGCACGGAAGCGAAGGCAGGAGCCAGGCGTCTCCCTGGGGCTTGGTGCGGGGCCGGAGCGGGGACTCCTGGGCCCCGCTGTGCGGGGTGTAAGGCTGGGAGCCCCAGCATGCTGGCAGGAGCAGGGCCCCCGGGTGGTATCTCCTGGTGGGCAGGAACAGGATATGGGGCTGGGGAAGGGAAAGACTGGGTCCCGTGGTGTGCGGGGCATGGTGCTGTACACATCACGGCCAGGGCTGTTACCCTCGTCCTCAATCCTGACACTAGCCGTAGGACTGGCCCAACCCAGCAAACCTGGCCACAGATGCTCCTGTAACGACTCTTCCCCGCAAAATCATGCGGTGGTTAGGGCCAAGCAGCTGCACTGAAATATTCATGCCAACCTCTCTTTGAAGATAGCATGATTTCTTGGAAACTTGCTGCATGTCTTACATAGAGCTGTCTGCTCTGCATGGCTGCCTATGCGTGATGGGAGCAACTGGGGTTCTGCAAGACCGATGCTGGGAAGCAGCAGCAGCATCCGCCCTGCGGTGCTCGACCTCCTATCGCACCTGCAGCTCCATAACGCGCACAATGTCCCAGGTGCACTGGCGCACTCAGGGAGTGGGAAGGCCTTGAGTGGCAGCCGTTAACTTGGGACGCTTCCTTCCCTCTCCCCAGGGTCCCGGGCAGGCATGTGATATTCGCATACCCGAGAAGGATGGGGAGCACAGCCCAAGGAGAACAAAGGCAGGGTGGGCCCCTGCTAGCTTAGAGAGACGCAATGCCAGAGTAATAGCGCACTGCACTATCGGGGCAGGAGGGAATCGGATCTGAGGAGGGATGAGTACAGAATGCAGCAAAACTGGGGTCCAGCAGAAGTGGCCCCTAGAGTCAAAAGTCAGATGGTGTCCCAGAGCTGCAGGGGACTAGGCCTCCGGGTAGCTATGCCATCTCCTGGGAGAAGCCATGGGGACAGCATAGTGCCACAACCCGAATGCAAGCAATGCCCTGGGTGCAGCTGGTCCCAAGCTAAGATAAGCTCAGAACTGATGAGAGAGCTCCAGGGAAGATGATGCTAGATGTTGGTACTGTGATAACAGGGCAGGCAATGCCAGGGATGTAGGTGCCACGATGACAGGGTGGGAGGTGATGGAGGAGGAGGTACCAGGGTTACTGAGGAGGTAATGTGAGAGTGTTAGCGGCAGACTTACTCGGCAGGTGATGGTGGAAGTGTTGATGCTGTGGCTACAGGGTGAGAGATGGTGATGGTTGTGGCGTGGGTTTACAGGGCACTGTTAAATGTTATAGGAACTGCTCTGCGCTGTACTCCGGAGACTCTTATCAGGACTCTGCAGTGCGCTTGCACTGGGTGCCCTTCCCAATTCCTGCCTCTTTTAGGCATGCAGACATGATGGAGCCAGTAACAAAAGCCTGGATAGGTGCTGTGGGAGATTTCCCCAGCACAGAGCTGAGGCATTTGGCGCTGGTGTTCCCCCAGCTCCAGCGTCCCGTCCAAGTGTGGGGCTTTGAGAGTGGGAACGCAGTGGAGAAGGGAATGTCAGGGGACCCTTTGAGTGCTCTTGCAGATCCCAGATCCTGCTGTAGCCCCAAATTGACCTGGGCTGTCTCAAACACAAACCTCCCCAAATTATTTGCTTAAGCGGTGGGATCTTTTGCCCTTGTAGCAGCTCACACTTTTAGCGTGCAAAGGTATCATAACCCATAATCAGACCTCAAGCAAGAAAACAGAAAATCTACCTTTCTGCCTATTCAGATAAGCCTGAAAGCTGTCTGTGTACAACCTCCTGCCCTGCAGTCCACCATAATGTACTGCAAATCCCAATGTAATTTGTTGTCCCTTAGGCCACTCAGTATTACTACTTTCCAAATGTCTCTTTCCCAGTCTCCATGGTGTTAAATTGTATTTCCCCAGCTGGATTACTTTGCATTTGTTCAGAATGAATTTCATTTGGCTATTTCCTTCCTATGTCTGACCTCTCTTTCCCAGTGCATTATCTTTTAGCTCTTTGTCCTCACCAGGATTTGCAGCACCTTCCCATTTCATATCCTCTGCAAATTTAATTAACATGTTCTTTACCCTCCCTCTTTCAGATCAGATGAAGATGTTAAAGGAGAGCAGACCTGGCACAGATCTAACCACTAACCACTAACAACAATACAAGTCCCTCGCACTTAAATTATGCACTTTCCATCAGAAGATTTCAAGGGCCTTTGCTGAACTGGATAAATATAATTATTAAAGCTGGAAACTCCGTTACACAGGGGAATTTAATATTTGAGGTCTGCCTGAGGGCATATATATGGTTAGCTGTTCTGTAGTGTAGACCTTGACAGTTGTGGAGTGGCTGGCCCTGGGGTGTCTGTCACATTAGTCTAGGCACATGGACACAGGCGGTCCTGGCTTGGGAGCCCTCAGCTGGAAATCCTGGTTTCAGATGAAGCAAAATGATGACCCAGCAGCAGGCTCAAAAGCGTCTTTCGGTTTGGTTCCAGGAAATGAAACAGTTACATATTGAAATTTTGCTGAATTAGGAAATATTTGCTGGAAGCTTCAGTCGTTATTCATAGAATGCAGTGGGGAAACAGACGCAGAGAGCTACTGGTTAGTGTGCTACTGGACACACGGGCTGTGATTTATCTGCCTTTAGGCATCTAAAAGGGAAACATCTAAGGTTCCTGTTAGAGTCAGTGGCGCGAGAGCAGCCCCTCCAGAGGGTTTCTCCTCTGACCTCTCTTGGTTTGGGTTGTAATCACCCTCAGGCAGGGCTCTGTGACGGTGAGAAGACCTTAGGGTAATTCACTCAGACTTAGGCAGCTGATATCCAGGTACCTCAGTCAGGATGCTGGCAGCCTGTCCTGCTTCACCCTAACCACAGACTGACTGTTTCCCGGCTGCCTTCTGTGCCTGCATGAGGAAAAGGGCTGGCTCTTCCCATGGGGATAGCGGCAGCCAACCCCACCAAAGATCTGTAAGTCTCTAAAAATTCTTCTTTGGCTTAATCTTAAGAGCGACATGCAACTGTGTGGCAATTTGGGCTGAGCGCAAAAGGTGGTTGTAGGAGAAAGTTACCGACTCCTTTACAAGGGAGCAGCCTTTTTTTTTTTTTTTTTTTTTTTTGGCTTTCCAACATTTAGTAGCTAAATGTTCTTATCTTGTTAGTGTAATCTTGATAATGAATAACATATACAGCCTTGTTTTGTATGATACTGCCCTTTTAAATCGCTGTTTCATTACATGCATGCACATACATGCACACAAGCCTACTATAAAACTTCCTGGTGCCATCTCCATCAGCTAAAAAGCATGAGAGCCACCACCGAGAGGAATAATGTGCCAGGAGCATCCCATTGGGTGTACGACCCAAAAGGGTTTTGGCTGAACTCAGTGCCTGGGCCTTCTTACCTCCACATGATACAATATAAATTGTCTTCTGACTGAAGGAACTGAGCGTGCAGGTTGCTGAAGGTGAATTCCCTCCAGATGCAGCCCGGGCTTTGGCAGAACCCCTTGCCCGATGCCTGAGTGACGGAGAACTGAGCAGTGCAGAGCACGTGGGCTTCTCGGCGGAGCCCCTTCCTAAGCACAGACACCTTGACGAGGGCTGGAAAGACCTTAAAGTTGTTCTTAGAAGAGGTTTACATGGCCTTTCCTTTGCTTGGCTGGCAGTTGTGTTTTCCTGGTAATGCCCATAGTCTCGCAAGGCCTGTCACTGCCATACGCTCCTGCCTGGCAGGAGGAATGTTGTTATTTAGTGACTGTGGAGCTCCTGAGCCAGGCATTAGTCCTTCTGATATTTTTCTCTTCTGATAAGTCTTCCCATATTCTTGATTTTCACAGCAACATTTCAGAGCAGCTAAGCAGGAATTCAGCTGCTGTTTATAATATGGGGAAAATAAACCCCAGTACCATATAAGGAGAGTACTGGTATGGCACCAAATGGAGATGAAGGGACCGTGAAAATCAAGCTGGAAATTGGTAGCGTCTTTCTAGCACTATAGCAGTGAGCTCCCAAATTGCCTGCTTGTAGGAGGAGTGGGATTAAGAAACCAAATTTCTCTTATGATGAATCATCATTCACCCGTGAAAGAAACGAGCTGACACTGTCTGTTGGGAGCTGAATTCTCCAACCTTTACAGCCCTGTGGCCTGACTTTCTGGGGTTAGATCTGCTGCAGGTAATTTCCTGTGGCAGTGAGTTACATGGCATAACACTCAGTTAACTAACAAAGTATTCCCATTTACCAGGTTGAAATGAGGTGCCTTGCTCTACCCTAATGAGGAGTTGGGAGCCTACTGTACCTTCTCTTGAGCCCCTTGTTATTTTCTTTGCTTCTGCTTAAGCCGAATTTTCGAACGATGTTGGCAGTGGCACCTAGCCTCTCACTCTGGAGTCATGGCAATGAATCATGAAATTTCTGATGGGAACAAGTCACCCCAGTTTTCCACCCAATATACACCTTTCACTTTTTTCCAGTGCAATCAATTTTCTCTGCTATTGCACTACCCATCCTCATCTGTGCAGAGCATGGAACAGGCTGGGGAGGGCCACTCTGCGATGCATGCTGTGATGGAGATGGAAGTTAGAGTGTAAGTGTGCACATCAAAGTCAGGATTTTTTCCTTTTCTTGCTGTTCTTTGCCCAATTTATTATCAGAGAGCTGTGCCAATCTCCTGTATGTGGCCTGTGTTTGTATACATGCATTCACCCACAGCTGCACGCAGCCATACATGCACACAGTGTCAGAGGGCTGAGAAAGTAACTGATGCTGGATTTGATTAATTCATCCAGGTAAATCATCTTGGCTGTGAATTGTCCCCTTCCCAGTGCCCAAGCTTCTTGGCCAAGATACCAGACCTCAGGAGCACCAGTATCCAGCTTTTCACAAGCTTGGATGCTGGGAAATACACACTTTTTCCTCATCTGTGGGGGATGGAACTGTGGTTGCGGAGGGTCTGCCTCAAAAAGGTGGGGGGTAAGCAGACACAAAAGGGCTTGAGGGGGTGAGGTGGGGAGCACAAATATGATTGACAGCTGTAGGATGTAAGCAGCCATCAATCAGTTTGTCAGACTGAAAGTGGGCAACCTCAGCTCTGTGCAAATCTCTCAAATTCTCAATGCTGGAAATTTCATTTTGTCCTATTAAATTATTAATCTAGCAATAAAACTGCCCCCCCCCCCAACGTCTCAAAGCTCCAGTCAGAGTCTCACATGGATTTTATCTTCCACTACATCAGGAAGGAGTGCAGGTAGGGAACAGAGGTGATGAGGTGTTCCCAGGAGGGAGAAAAGAAAGCTTAATTCACTGATGTCCCTGAGCTGGTGGTTTCTGCTGTCCAGATCCCAGGATACCATGCAACAGCAAGGTGACACCTCAGCCCTGGGAGAGCCAGGGTGTCCCAGCAGTGAGGAGCAGCCACGTCTCGATGCTGGAGGCTCCTGTATGCTGTGATACAGCAGGCTCAGCACCATACGGCAGCCATGCTTTGGGTGCAGCTGGTACCTAGAAGGCATTGGAGGCTGTGGCTTCATGCTACAAAGTCCCTGACAGTGACATCATCTTAGGTGACTTCCTGGTGCTCATTTCTGCCCCTTTTTTGGCAGTGTGTATTTTAGCAAGCATAGTTCCTTTATCTGGTTCACAGTGTGCCCCCTGAGGCAGCTCTGCTGCTGCAGGTGAGCACCTGTACTTTGCACTTGCCCAGAGAGGTTGTGGAGTCTCTCTCCTTGGAGATATTCAAAAGCCATCTGGGCACAATCCTGTGCTTAAGCAGGGGGGTTGAACTAGACGATCTCCAGAGGTCCCTTCCAACTTTAACCATTTTGTGATTCTGTGATTTGCATCCATCCAGCTCGAGGCCTTCTTCCCTCTTTGCCCTCCTGGTAATATCTGAATTAGATATCCCTGGGGAACACAAGGTCTGTGTTGTGCAGCTTCCCCAAGGCCCTGGCCAGATAAGTAAGACCCTTCTCTGGAAGCTGCAGAGCCCCAAGAACTTCTGTGCTTACTCTGCTAGTGCCCTGCACACAGCTGGGCTGTCCGCCCATCTCAAACCCACTCCTGGCTCGTGGCCTGTGCTGAACTTTGTGAGGAGCTCTCTGTTCCAAGGCTGCTCGTTCTGGCACAAGTGAGGGCTTAGCCTACGAGTCTTCTGGGCCAAACATTATGCTGCGATTCTAGACATATACCTGAAAGGATGCGGGTCTCTCAGACTACTCTCAGATTCCCATCCTTGCATCCCACTCTAGTAACTAAAGATGCACCCATGCTTTTCCCCTAGCTGAGACTTGCTAGTCTATCCTCTTCCAGCTTGAGAGCAGAGTCAGCACCAGCCCTGCAGGCTAGAGAGAAGACAGCGCTGACTCTCCAGAGATGGTAGAGCTCTCCTTGAGCTTGACAGAAAGTCCTGTGCCAGGATCTGCTCTGTAAACCCATTGGAGGAAATCAGAGCAAAACAGTGTCCAGGAGGGTGCAGAGTGTGCTGGACAAAGGTGGCATGGCTCTACCTCCCACCCAGAAGAATAAGCAATACCTGAATTTTCCCTGTATGCTGCCACTAGTCTGTGGAGGAGGGCTTACAAGGAGAAGAGTGACTATGCGCATGTAGCTGTAGCTTGAGTGGATAAACCATCCTTGTGATAAAAGGAGCTGTGCATTTTTCTGATTGTATATGGGGATGTATACATGGGGAGACAAGAATATGGGTTAAAGCAGCATTTAGCATGAGCTGCCATAAGCAAAGGAAGGAAAAAATCACAAAAGGAGAAGACCAGTGATAATATCACTTTCATGCAGAATAGTCTAGGAACGCTAATAAGGTTCTGTGCAAAGTCTTCTCTATAAGGTTATGTAGGCTGTGAAGTTTTTTAGCTAAAGAAAACCGCAACACAAAATCTGGCTGGTTTTAAACCAGTATGACAGATTTGTCTAAAAGACTGTGTAAGGAGAAACCACTGAAGCCAGGGTCAATAATCAAGTGCCCTTGATGGGGCCACCTGACAGGGACTGCTACAGCCTTGCTGAACGGACACTTTTTGCAGTAGTATTGTGGTAGGCCCTAGTGTAAAGAGTGACTCTGGGGAGAAGGACATTGAGCACCAGAGAATTGCTAAACTAGCCTTCTTCATTCTTCTGTTGCTGAGGCTGAAGCATGGGCGGGCTAAGTGGGATCTCACCTTGCCATTTAAAGTGTGGTGGTCAAGAGTTTTCCCCGACCTTCCTCCTCAAGGATGAAATTAGCTGTGCATATTGGTACTCTGCTTGTTTTACATCCCGGAAAGGAATCAGTGCTGGGTGTTGGCAGGCGTTTGCCAGAAAAGCAGCTCTGTATGTGCTGCATTTTCTTCTCCTGTTCTCCAGGTGGTTGGATGCCCTACTGCCCAGCCTCTCCCTGCTCGCTGGCATCTCAGTAATGTTGATTTTTACACCACCTTCCACTCACTTACCCCGACTCACCAACGTGTCACTTACACCACCATTCATGTCACCTCTGATTCTGGCCCATAATGTGCCGTGTGTCACCTCAGCAGAGGATTAACCACAGAATGCTTTAGAACCAGCCAAGCAGAAAGCAAAGCATATGTCATCTCTCCTTATTGTTTACAGGAGAGAACATCACCTGGCATCACCAGGGACAAGGACACATGTTGAGTGATCTCCTCCTAGGAAAGAAGTGCCCGACTGTACTGCAGTTCCAATGCATCCAAGGACCCAACCCCAGCAGCCTGGCTGCACTAGGGTCACCGCCTGGAGAGGCCACGCTCCAGCTGCATCTGCAATCAGCTCACCACGTGGCCAGTTTTGTGTTAGGGAAGAAGCACATCCATTTTCATTGTCTTGTGACTTAGAAAGGAAAAATGCATTTCTTTAGGTCATGGCTAGTATAGCAACATGTGACAGCAGAGCCCAGCCTGATCTATTTAATTGCAGAGCAGCTTGCTGCAAACTTTCCATGAAATGCTCATATTCTGTGCTGTGTCGCCATGTGTTTGGCACCCCTTTTCATCACAATCTCTTTCTTTAACGTCTGTATCTTTTAGAAATCTTTCCCCCCC